CCAACCTTCCTTCCGAGGAGTGGCTGGTGGGTTTGAACCGCCAGCCTTCTGGTTAGCAGTCAAGTGCCTTAGCCACTACGCTACCAGAGCTCCCAAGAAGTTATAAATTTGCCCCCCTGTTAGCTCTATTATATATATATGGACATTCTTAAGAAAAACTATTGTAAATTTATTACTTGCTCAAAAACAAACATTAAATAAAGAATAAATAAGAGGGAGGGGGTACAAGGAAAGGTAGCTACAAAAGTGGATGCAAGGCCGCGCTGGAGGTAAGGGACAAGAACCGGGTCCTGGCCTCTAAATTTAGCTCAGCATAATACCAGGACGAACCTTCTCTCGCTGAATCTGACACCGTGGCCCGAGCGCCAGGTACTGTCCCGGGCGTGCTAGGTCGGCCTCAGGCTGTGTCCAGAACTGGCATCTAACCAGGTTTGTGCACCCACCTGTCTGGGCCGGTTTCCCGCGACTGACTGGGTCAGGCTGGATTAACCTTCAGAGGCCTGTGGCTGGTCTGCTCGAGGGAGGCGACAGGAAGAGGGTCTCTGGGGGCCAAGAAGGTCACAGGCCAATGCGGGGGCCTGGAGGACCAGACACAGGGACACAAGGCGCAGTCTAACATTTGACTACCCTGCCTCCTTCAGTACTGCTCCGGGGGCCACCAGCGCGCAAGGTCCCCTCCACACTCTTTGCTGGGAGAGCAACCAGCTCAAGGCTCCGCCTGCTAGGCTTTAGCCCCGCCCCGTCACTGGCGATTCAGAGGCTGGCTCGGGCCTCCGAGCTCTGAGCTGCCTCTTGTGGGGTCCAGCGGCCTCCCCTGCGCTGTCTGACCCGGGTGCGCAGAGGGCGTGCATGGCGGCAGTGGGGCCGCGGATGGGCCCTGGCGCCGGGGCCGAGGCTCTGGCTCTGGCGGCAGAGCTGCAGGGCGAAGCGACGTGTTCCATCTGCCTGGAGCTCTTCCAAGAGCCTGTGTCAGTCGACTGTGGTCACAGCTTCTGCCGCGCCTGCATCAAGCTCTGCTGGGAGCGCGCAGGCAATTGGGCCGCTACCGCGCCCCGCGCGCTGCCTGGCCAGCTGCCCTGCCCGCAGTGCCGCGAGCCTGCGCGCCCCAGCCAGCTGCGGCCTAACCGACAGCTGGCCGCGGTGGCCACGCTGCTTCGTCGCTTCAGCCTGCCTGCCGCGGCGCCAGGGGATCGCGGGTCCTCGGATTTAGCAGCCCCGGCGGCGTGCTCTCTGCACGGCGAACCGCTCAAGCTCTACTGCCAGGACGATGGACGCGCCATTTGCGTGGTGTGCGACCGCGCCCGGGAGCACCGCGCACACGCAGTGTTGCCGCTTGACGAGGCAGTGCAGGAGGCCAAGGTGAGGGCCCGCCCCATCCCTGCCAGTCCGGGAGAACCTAGTCACCCGACCCAGTATTTCCCACACCCGCGCACAGCGCATGCGCAGTGCAAAGGAGCCTTGCCTTCTTTCTCCACTCCCAAGCTTCCCAGCGCTGCCTCCTCGCCTGACAGCGGTTATCCTTCTGTCACCCCCACACCAGCACCACTATTCCCGTTTCACTCTGGAAGCCATACTAGGTTGTCTGCGCGACGCCCCTGCGAACTTGGCGATTTTCTTTCCGACAGTACCTGGCTTGTAGTAGCGTGCTAGTTATTGCAGTTTTCCCCCGCAGGACCCCATCATACCCACACACCCGCTGCCACCACTCTCAGCCCTTTCCCCGGGACGTGGTTCTGTTCAGCGTCCCCACCTCCTGGGACCAGTGGGACAACCTCTCCAAGAGGTCAGTGGTTGTCCTGAGTCGACTGGCGCACGAGAGCCGTCTGCACTTTTTGTCAAAGCTGTCGTTACTGGGCGTCCCAACTTTCCTGTCACTTTGCGGGGGCTACAGCAGAAGTGTGTGTAGAGGCACTGAACGCACTGTCCCCATTCTTTCTATGCTTCTCCACCCTATCGCCCAAAAGGGCTTTCTAATGGTGGGCAGGCGAGCCAAGGCGAGGACAAGGTGGGTTGGGCGGGCGGAGACCTTGTATTTCAATCTGGATTGTGCAGCAGATATCCTTGAGAAAGTGAGACTTCTGGGGCCTTTGGAGTCATCCTGCGGTTGCCCAGTATTCCTATGCTCAGCCTATGCATGTTACATCCACCCTGACATCCACAGGTGGTGCTACCCGGCACATATTCCTCAATGACCAAGGCCTACCCTTTCTCCTGGAATGTACTGGTGGGGGTTTCAGCAGATGGCTCCCTTCTCACTTCCTGCAGGAGCTTCTGGAGTCGAGGCTGAAAGTCTTGAAGAAGGAGCTGGAGGACTTTGAGGTGTTCCGGTCCACAGAGGAGAAGGAAAGCAGGGAGCTCCTGGTGAGCCCGGCATAGGCCCCAGTGGGAGTTAGGGCCACCTACCACCCCTGACTCTGTGTGTATGGTGTTTGAATGGATGCCTATGGAACAGCAGAGATAGATTCTACAAAGATTTTAGGGTGCATATTATATAGGGTAGGAGCTCTGGTGACATAGTGCCTAAGGCATTTGACTTCTAACCCAGCCTCTCCTCAGAAGGAAGATGGGGCAATCTACTTCCATAGACCTACTGCCTCCAAAGCCCAAGTCAAGGGTAGTGAGTGATTATATAGGGTGGCCATAAAATTTATTGAACGTACCAGAGTTTTTGAGAGTGAAATCCAAACCAAAAACCAAACCCATAGCCATTAAATCAATTCTGACTCATAGTGACCCCCATAGGGTTTCTAAGGCTGTAAATCTGTATAAGAGTAAATTCCCTCATCTTCCTGGTAAGAGTAAATTATACAGAAAAATCTGTGTAAGAGTAAATTCCCTCATCAGCTGGTAGGTTTGAACTGCCAACTTTCTAGTTAGCAGCCAAATGCCTTACGCACTACACCACCAGAGCTCCTTGGGGGTTGCTAGTATGATCACTTTAGAACAACTGGCTTAATTTGGAACTGTACTAGAGAATCAGGAGGTATGGTCACTCTAATGTTACATAACACCCCAACAGGGGTTTGGAACAGCATCTTTTGATTGAATATATTAACATTTCTACAGAAAAACATATAAATATCCATACTATGCAGGAAATAAATACAATAAATAGCTTCAGTTCAGTTCAGGGCATGTTCTGCCATGAAATGAGTTATGAAAACATTTTCACTTTCAGACTTTTTTATATTTTGGATTAGAAGCTAAGGGAGAAAGGGCTTGAGGGCGTATCACAGCTGCTCCCTGATCCTAGCAGAGGGAAGGAGGTTTGGAGACTTGGGTTTACAACAATCCCTGCTGTGTAGCTGAGGATACCCAGCACCTCAGTGAACTGGGATGATATTTTGTCTTCCTTACAGTGAAATGAGACGATGCAAGTCAAAGGTCTTTGGGAACAGGAAAGTGAGATTGAGTTAAGGTGGGCACTTAACCAAAGTGAGGGTCACTGACTGTCATTTGTCTGGGTCACAAATTCAGTTCCTAGCTCAGAAAATAGATGTTGAAGTAATGAAAGGCTCCACTAAAGGCCTGTTAGTTGAAAACTAGAGGAAGAGTAACTTGAAGTGAGGAAGGGGGAAAGGGAAGACAGTTGACATGCCCTAGGGTCCTTTTCTGACCTACTGCCGCATCTATTACACCTGCATCCAGTGTGCACTCCTTTCTTCCCTTCTGATCACTCACTTCCGTACATAAGGAACAGCTCATGCCTCCTGACCTTTATCCCTCCTCAGCTGGAAGAAGGGATGATCATGTGTCTCTTTGGTCACTATTTTACATCTGTGACCGAGAGAGCTGTCCTATAGCATGCACAGCTTCTCAGTCTGTGGTAGGACCCCCTCCCCATGACTTGGTTTAGCATCTTTCACCTCTGTCCTTTCCTGGCACCCACCTTACTACCTTGGCTCCTAGCTCACATTCTTTATAATTAACAAAATGCCTGCTTAATGAAACAGAAGTAGGGTATTACTGTTGTTGAAAATATTTTTACCATTTAGAGCAGTGATTCTCATCTGAAGGCAATTTTGCACACTCCTCAGCCCCCCAGGCATTTGCCAACGTGTGGAGCCTCAGTGGTACAGTGGATAAGGCATTGGCTGCTAACCCAAAGGTCAGCAGTTCAAACCTACCACCTTCTCTGTGTAAAGATTACAGCCTCAGAAATCCAATGGGGGTCACTATGAGTGGGAATTGATTTGATAGCAGTGAGTTTTTTTTTTTTTTTTGGCAATATTTTTGGTTGTCATCACTGGGATGGTAGGGTATAGACATTTTGTGGTAATGGGAGAGATATTGCTAAACATCCTGTAATGCACAGGACAGTCACCCACAACAAAGGATTATGTGGCTCCAAATATCAATGGTGCCTGTGTTGACAATCTGTGACTTAGAGTATTTAGGCAAATGCTATTTCACTTGTGTTTTTCCCTTTGGCGGCAATATGATATAGTTGCAAGAAGTGTAGACTCTGGTGTCAGACTCTCTGGATTAGAATCCTGGTTTACCACTTATTGACAATGTGTCTCTCTACCTTAGTCTTTTCATGTTTAAAATGGGTTAAGCCCACAATTAAAAAAGAGAAAAAGAGAGATTGAGAGAGAAGTGTACCCACCTCATTGGGTTGTTGTCAGAGTTGAGTGAATTAATACATATAAAGTGCTCAGAATGGGGCCTGCCACAGGGTATGGAAATAAATAGGTCAGTAAATGTTAGTTGCTGTTGTTTGCTTTCCTAACATCCCCAAGATGGAGATAAGGCAGGGGGCATTGGTAAGAAGTCTATGGAGCTGTGGCTTGAACCCAGGTTTTCAGACTTAAAAATTCACTGATGGTCTTCTCTTCCAGCCAGTCTTTCTTTTACCTAGAGCATTCAGGGAGTAAGAGTTGAGGTTGTCCTGTTGCTGTTGTTAGGTGCACTATGAGTCCAACTCATAGTGACCCTATAGGACAGAGTAGAACTGCCTCAGCATGCTCCAATATTTATAATCCAACTGACTCACATTCCCCAAATACCCCAGATTTGCCACCACTACCTCTCAATACCAACCTCACCTCAACCAACATGCTGCCATACATCAGTGCCTGGAGGGTAATGCATCCTAACGCCGTGGGAAAGAACAGTGGAAGCTTTGTGTTTGGAACCCTTCCAGACTGTACCCTATGTGTCTGATTTTCACTTATATCCTTTCCCCATAATAAAGGAGCTCTGGTGGCATAGTGCCTAAGGCATTCAATTGCTAACCAGAAGGTTAGTGATTCAAACCCACCAGCCACTCCACAGAAGGAAGACTGGGCAATCTACTTCCGTAAAGATTTATCACCTCACAAACTGTTCTGGTTACCTAGTGCTGCTCTGACATGAATATACCATAAATGGGATGGCTTTGACAAACAGGAGTTTATTCTTACAATTTGGAGGCTTTAAGTCCAAGTTCAAAGTGCCAGGCTGTAGGGGCTGGGTAAAAGCCCCTCAACCTTAGGCTTCAGCTCTGCCTCCAGATCCCAGCCCACTGAAGCTAGAGGCTTTTCTTCACTCAGACACCTGCTGGCTGGTGAGACTGACAAGCCCAAGGTTGACAAGTAAAAAGGCACAGTCCCAATGTTACCAAACCACATGGAAGGCCATTAATTCAAGTCCATTGGAAGTCCCAAGGTCGGCAGAGCATGGCAGGCTGCTAAACAATGACATGGCTACATGTAGGGTTCAAGCGTGCTACATGCTAGAGACCATTTCCTAAGGCTTCTCCTTATATACAGGAAGCAGACCACATTCCCTAAGGCAGCTCCTCAGCTGCTTACATTAGATTCCACCATGGAGTTGATTACCAATCTCATCATGGGGAATACTACATCCAGCTGCCCAGCCACTCAACCAGGCCAAGCCAAGTTGACACACAAACTTCACCACCACAGAAACCCAAATGGAGTTGCTATGAGATGAAATTGACTCAATGGTGGTGAGTTTAGTTTTCTGGTTTGGTAATAAATTAACTTTGGGTATAATAGCTTTCAGTGAATTATGAATCTTTCTAGTGAATTATTAAACCTGAGAATGGTTGGAGAACCCCCTAAACTTGCAGGTGATGTCTTCCAGATGAGCTGGAGAAAGAGGAGAAAGTTACAGGTAGTTGTAGTGTAGCATAGTGGCTAAGGCACTTGACTGCTAATCAGAAGGCTGGCGGTTCAAACCCACCAGCCACTCCTTGGAAGGAAGATGGGGCAATCTATTTCCGCAGTGATACTGCCTCGGAAACCCAAGGAGGGCTCACTATGAGTCGGGTCCGACTTGATGGCACACAACAACAAAGTGTAACTGAGGGTGGTCTTGTGGAGGACTGTGTGCCTTGTAAACTGGATAGTTGTCTCTAAACTTTGCAGTTTAGCTAACTCCAGGCAAGCATATTCTCACTTGGGTCACTGTGGGTGTGTTACCTTTCTTCTTTCTACTTTTCTATACCTACCAGGTTTTGTATTAACAGCATGTGCTACCTTTATAATTGCTAAAAAGAAAAGTTGCTGTTTTAAAAGAAGTAAAGAGTGAAAGTATAAGGAATAACAAAATACATATGTTTGGGAATTAAAAAGCCACCTCAGTGTAATCCTTATAGTAGCCTCTTGTACTCATTTATTCCTGCCACTTTTAAGATGAGGAAACTGCAGCCTTAGGTGGTTCTGGGATAGTTTCAAATTGTCCTAGGTAAGGTGGTAAAACCCAGGGTCCAGGATACTTGTGTTGAGACTGCTGAGTACATTCATTTGGAATATTTAAAATAGAGTATGTGTGCGTGTATGTGAGTTAGTGCATGCTTGTGTGGGGGTGGGTGGGGGGAGTGGGGGTGGTGTATTTGACCCCTAAAGCACCGAGAGAAGTGGAACCCTGTGGGACAACTCAAGAGGTTCCTGTCCAAATATCATGTCTCAATGCTCAAAAACCCTCACCTCTCCAACCTCTCCTCCTCTGTGGACAGAAGCAGATGGCAGCTGAGAGAGAAAAGGTAGGGGCTGAGTTCCAGGCGCTGAGAGCCTTCCTGGTGGAGCAGGAGGGCCGGCTCCTGGGCCGACTGGAAGAGCTGTCCCGGGAAGTGACACAGAAGCAGAATGAGAACTTGGCCCAGCTTGGGGGTGAGATCACACAGCTCTCCAAACTCAGCAGCCAGATCCAGGAGACAGCTTGCAAGTCTGACCTCGACTTTCTGCACGTGAGTCTGGGTCAGCCAGGGGTTTGACCCATTTAGTATAAGCCATCAGGAAAGGCAGAGTGATCAATGTCAGTCAGATCTTGTGAATAGAACCACACAATCCAGAGCCAAAGGGGACTGGGGAGAGAAGTCTGATTTTAAAGAGGTGTGATAAAACTTTCTTGACCATGATCCACAAGAATATATTTTATATTGTTATTCTAAGATAAACATCTCAGAAAATAATACTTACCTTTATTCTATGTGATGCACTTTGATTTTTCAATTCTATTTCATTTTTTAAAAAATGCTCATCTCAATTTTGCGAGCCACTAATGGGTCAAGAATGATAGTCCTTACCATTGCATAAGGGGTATGACTTGTCTCTTGTGGTTTTAAGGACAGAGGTAACACTAGGTCCAGGTAGATGTTCCAGTGAAGATTCTATAATAATAGAGTGTGGGACCCACTGAAATGATGAGACACTAGAAGTTAGGTACAGTGGGAAGCTGTTGCCTCCAGGGACCCATGCAGTCTATGGGGCAGGGTGTACCTGCTTACTGTTTATTCCTCTTGGACACAGGCCAAGCGGCCAGTTTTGGTTTGAATGGTGAATGGAGGTCACAGAATGCTGATTTGGTTTTCTTCCATCTTTCCTTCTAGGAGTTCAAAAACACACTAAGCAAGTGAGTGGACCTAATGGCTTCTGGGGTCTCTCTAAGTTGTCTCTTCTTTCCCATTGAACTCTTTTCATTCACCCACTCCTGCTCTCTACCTACCCGCCTCCTTCCCTACCTTACTTGGGTATGTTCTGTGACAAATATATGCCTACCTGGCCATGGTATTCCAATACCAGGCTGGCCTCTCCCTTTTCTACCTCTTCCTGACAAGAGGACCTCATCAACCTATTTGTCAGAGCCCAGTGGAAGTAGGATGGTGTTCATGGGCCTCCCTTAGGGTCCCTGTCCTGCAGGTGCAGCAATGTGCCCGGCCCCAAGCCAACCACAGTCTCTTCTGAGATGAAGAATAAAGTCTGGAATGTTTCCCTCAAGACCTTTGTCTTAAAGGGTTTGCTCAAGAAGTTCAAAGGTAGGGGCCTGGGAATGGGGCTGGAACATGTGGTGTGGGTGGTGGTGGTGTATTTCTAGCAGTTCAGGGATCCCAAGGGTGATACTTTTCCAGAAGCTGTGACAAAATGTTAGCTGAGGTATGTCAAGGTGAGGTTGGTATTGAGAGGTGGTGATGGCAAATCTGGGGTGTTTGGGGAATGTGAGTCAGTTGGGTTATAAAAATTGGAAAAAGTGGTATCATTGCCATACTCATATCATTCATGCACACCCTGCTTTGTTTCTCCTCCTCAGAGGATCTTCAGGATGAGTTGGAGAAAGAGGAAAAAGGTATGGATGGTTTTTATGGCAGTGAGTACTGATTATATGGCAAGGTAGAAAATCCACTTCCTGTGGTGTCTGTTCCTCTGGGATTAACACATGGTGACTGTCTCTTGGCCTTTGCACATGGTTGGTTCCTTCCGTTAGTCTTACTTCACAACCCTGCGAGATTGCTGCCCCGTCCCCATCCTCACCAGCCTCAGAAGTTCTGACTCCCTCAGGCTACAGTGGAGCCTGAAAGCCTATAAGCTCCTGGGAATGAGGGTTTGTGGCCAGGGGTCAGGAGAAATAGGGTGAAGCTGAAGACAGGAAGGGTGATGATCCTTCTTATTCCTGAAATACTCTGGAATATGTGGGATCTGTTGAGAGATCCCTCAGGAGAGGGGAGGGCTTATCTAAGTCCTATTTTCATGCTGATGGCTAAGTTAAGTCAGAGTTTACACACCACAACTAAAACCAAAACCAAACTCACTGCCACCGAGTCTATCCCAACTCCTTGGGTTTCTACTTCTCTATAGAAGTAGATTGCCCAATCTTCCTTCCCAGGAGTGACTGGTAGGTTTGAATTGCCAACCTCTGGTTAGCAGTCAAATGCGTTAAGCACTATGCCACCAGAGCTCCAAGAGTTTACACAGGCTGAATCTAAACCAAGTCAGACCATGCCCATACTCTGCTCAGAACGTTGTGATGGTTCCTCTCACTCAATAAAGGCTAGGGCCCTCACCATGGCTTTCAGGGTCCCAGGGGATCTAGTCTCATCTCCACATCTCCCTCTTGCTCACTCTATACAGCCACACACTCTGCTTGCTGTTTCCAAAATACACCAAGCACACATCCACCTCAGGTGTGTGTTTAAAACTATTTTGAAAAAATGAAATAGAAAACATCAAAGTGCATCATATGTAGTAAAAGTATTTTGAGACTTTTCTCTCAAGTATGTGTATACTAGAATGCAGTGTGAAATATATTCTTGTGGATCATGGTCAAGAAAGTTTTGTCACATCTCTTTAGATTTCTGGACTACTAACCTTAATTAATGTTAGTGGCTTGAAGCCACTCAGCAGTGCCACAGAAGAAAGGCTTGGTGATCTGCTCCTATGAAGATTACAGTCAAGAAAACCCTATGGAGCAGTTCTACTCTGTAATATATAGGGTCCCTTAAGTCAGAATTGATGGCAATAGGTTTGGTTTGTTTTATTTTAGACCTCTAATCCCAGGAGAAGGAGCCCTGGTGGCATGGAGGTTAGACACTGCTAACTGAAAGGTTAGCAGTTTGAATGCACCAGCTGCTCTGTGGGAGAAAGATGTGGCAGTCTGCTTCTGTAGAGATTTACAGCCTTGGAAACCTGATGGGACAGTTTACCCTGTCCTATAGAGTCATTGTAAGTTTGAATTGACATCATTGTGGGTGGTTTAACCCAAGGAAAATCAGAGCACTTCTTCCTAGTCTTCTATGGCTCCAGATTGTATGGTTCTACTAAATTCACAGCCAGCGCTGCACTGGCTATTCCTAAGCCTGGAGCATGCTTCTCCAGATAGCTGTGTGGCTAGCTTCCTCACCTTCTTTATGTCTTTGCTCAAATGACACCTTTTTAATTTTTTAAATTAATTAATTATTTTTTTGTTGTTGAGAATATATACAGCAAAATCACACCTATTCAGCCGTTTTTATATGTACAATTTAGTGACATTGATTACATTCTTCAAATTGTGCAACCATCCTTTTCTGAGTTTTTCCTCTTCCATTAATATACTCACTGCCCCTAATGTTCCTATCTAATCTTTCAAGTTGCTGCTGTCACTTTGATCCCATGTAGATAGTTCTTAATAGAGCGTAATGCTTAAGGCAGACATTTTTTACTAGTCAAGCTAAACTATTGTTTGATTTTATGACTTCAGGGTTATTTTTGGTTTAAGTTTTAAAGATTATCTCAGAGCAATAGTTTCAGAGGTTCATGGCTGTGGAAAGTCTGGAGACTATTAGAATCAAATGGTACTAGGCACTGAGGCCTTCCCTGAGCATTTGAGTTAAAACTATAGCCTGCTCTTTTGTAATAGTTAAGGTTGTGTGTCAACTTGGCTGGACCATGATTTTATGTGGTTCAGCAGTTAGGAGGTAGTTATCCCCCATTATGAGATCTAATATAATTTAATCACCTCCATGATGAAATCTGCTATGAGCAGTCAGTCAGTTGAAAGGGAGGTTCCTTCAGGGTGTGGCTACTTCCAGTATAGAGGGAAAAGCTTTGGAAAAGTCTCTGGCTTTTTGCTCATTCTGTATCTTGCATCTGGCTCATCATCATCTCTGGTTCCTGAACTTGAACAAGTGCCTGCCATGTTGCCTGCCAATCTTGGGATTGTTGCCTTCATAGCATGAACCAACAATCTGCCATTTCACCTGCCAATCTTGGATTTGTCAGCCTCTAAAGCCAGCAGCCTTCTATATTACCTGCTGATCTTGGACTCATCAGCCCCTGCTGCTACATGAATCAGGAGAAGCCTCCAGCTTGATGTTTGGCCCATGGACTCGGGACTTGCAAGCCTCTACAACTGTGTGAGCCATTTCCTTGGGATAAATTTCTCTCTCTCTCTCTCTCTCAAAGCTTCACTAGTTTTGCTTCTCTAGAGAACCCAACCTAAGACATTTGGTACCAGTAGACTTTCTAGAGAAACAAGTGTAAGAATGAGCTTTCTAAATTGGTTCTCAAGTTTGATTAGTTGTAAAGACACTCATGACTCTGCCTTCATTAGTAAAGAGGGTGCTGCTAATCCATGGCATGAAGTGCCAATATTAATACACAAAATAGCAATAGTAATAAATCAAGTATTGATGAGAAGTGAGGCTCTGGGTGATCACATGTTTAATACATTTCAGTTTTGTCAGAATGAGGAGTATAAGAAAGCTGGTTGGTGAGTTCTACTTACACTAGACAAAGTGGTGAAAGAATGAGATGAGCTCAGGGCTTCAGAGTCACAGCTCAAGTGCCACATAAAAGACCTCAGAGTTGCTATTTGTGCACTGAAAGAAAGCCTTATTTTTTGTAGTAACAGAACTGATATTGCTGAAAACCAAACCCAGAACCTTATTGTAAAGAATGGCTGAATTGTAACACCAATTAAATTGCCAACCTCAAATTATGTCTGAAGTTAAAGTAAGAACAATGATTGGGAAGAAATGGGATCCTGAAACTTGGGATGGGGACATACAGGCAGATAATCAGGAAGCTGGGGACATTGAGCCCCTAAATTCCATTGAATCACTCCTGTCAGCATAACCAGCCCACTCACTGATGAGACTAATCTAGTGCCTGCTGGGTCATTGTCTGAGATATCACCAGGGGAATTGCCTGAAATAGATGCCTTATAAGACATTGCTAACCATTCTCAGGAATCACCCCCACCATCCATTGTTGCTCCTAGAGCTATAACTAGAGTTAAGTCCCAGCAGTCCCCAAAAGGTGAAGTACAAAGTGTGACTCCAGAAAAGGTACACTGCACTTCAGAAGAAATGCTTGATTTTGCTAACACGTACCAACAGAAACCTGGAGAATATGTATAGGAATGGTTATTAATGGTGTGGGATAATGGTACAAAGAACATAAATTTGGATTGTTGTTGTTATTATGTGCCATCGAGTCAGACCCGACTCATAGTGATCCCTCCTTGGGTTTCCAAGGCAATATCACTACGGAAGTAGATTGCCCCATCTTCCTTCCGAGGAGTGGCTTGTGGGTTTGAACTGCCAGCCTTCTGGTTAGCAGTCATGTGCCTTAGGCACTATGCTACCAGAGCTCCCTAAATTTGGATTAGTCTGAGTTTATTGATTTGAGCCCACTAGCACAGATTCTTATAATTCAGTGTTTCAGCTCAAGAGGTTAGGAAAGGACCTAATAGTTTATTTGGTTGGTTTACTAAGGCATGAATTATGCATTGGCCGAAACTAAATCTAGCTGAAGTACCAGACCTGCCTTGATATAATATAGAAGAAGGTATCCACAGGGTTAGCGAAATAGGCATGTTAGAATGGATTTATCAGATAACACCCACAGATCCACACAAGGAGTGCCCAGAGGACACACCTTTTAGCACTATAGTGTGGAACACATTTGTAAAGGGAGCCCCAGCATCTTTGAAGACTGCTGTGATTGCTATTTTATATAAGCCAGATTTGACAGTGGAACTCCCCTAATTGAATTAAGACACCTAAGTACAATGGGGCTGAGTGGACCCTGTGGTGGTAGGGGACAACTGGCAATACTTAACAAAGACAAGGTAGGTGTGGTTACCCTAATGGCACCAGCGTTAAAGCAGTAATTAGAACAGTCTGACTCATATAAACTTATGGCATGGTGCTCACTACTTAGTATGGTGTCCCTAGGGGTGAAATAGGTGGGAAAGCTACCAAATATTTACTTCATCTGTACAAGGGGAAGAATTCTGGGTCAGGTGAAGAGCAGTGTAACTTGAATCGCCAGAATACAGTCATGGCCCCTTAATCAATTCCTAAACTTGAGCCAGTTTATAGATCCACAGCCCCTTGAATGAAGGGGAGGCTGGGTCCCCTTGAGGAAGGACCCCACTACACTGGCAAAATTTAATATTGTTAATCTTTTCCCTAGCTTTATGCAAAGGGATCTATAGCCTTTTATGAGAGTGACTATTCATTGGTGAAATGGAAATAATCAAACTTTGTGGGGATTACTGGATAGGTTCTGAATTGACACTAATTCCTGGAGACCTAAAACATCACTATGGCCCACCAGTTAGAGTAGGGACACATGGAGGTCATGTTATTGATGTAGTCTTAGCTCACGTCCATCTCACAGTGGGTCCACTGGCTCCCTGAACCCATCGTGTAGTGATTTTGAAATAGGACCAAACGCGGGCCCCTGCCTGGTGTGCGGTCAGGCCAAAACAGTTTACACACCAAGTGATTAAGAGGAGAGAAAATTATTTATTGCAAAGTGGCAATGCAAGGAGACAGGAGTCCATATCCAGATCTGACTCCC